TTTTTATAGAATTTGTGTCAAATATTACTAGAAGGGTTCTATTTTTATTTTTATTTTAATTTAATTATATATTAAAAGCTCCAAGAAAGTAATTCGAATGTCAAATATTAAAAAATTACTTAAAATAAAAGATTTGATTTATCCTTCCAAAAATTAAATAACAACTTTAAATTTAAGCAAAAAAGAAAATAAAAAAAAATTATTAACATAATTTTTAATGTCCTACGTTTTAATAAATTCATTTAGTGAAATCAAATATATACAAAAATATATGCATATTAACAAATGCATATTTTTAAAATCATGTCTTGCCAATGGGCAATGGCTAATTATCACCTTTTACATACCCCGGGTGCACATAGATGTATGTGTAGGCAAAAGTAGTTTTAAAGAAAATATACTAGCTAATAGGCTCTTTCATAAATTAAGCATAATATTTTAAACAAATTTTTATTTTATAACTAAATGTAGTATTAATATGAAACAATTATTAAAAATAATCGTGCATGGCACGGGACCTAACCTAGTAATAATAATAATAATAATTATTATAATAATAAATAAATAGATAGATAGATAGATAGATAGATAGATAGATAGATAGATAGTCTGGACTATCTGACTTTGATCCTAGACGAGTAGTGACTGATGCGGCCAATCAGAAGAGGGTCAAGTACTGACAAATTAGAGAGAAATATAAAATAGAATGGCTTTTGTATTGCTTGATTATTATTCATCCATAGGTAGAGTATTTATACAAAACCTAAGAACATAAGATAGGAAACAATCTTCTTAAAAGATATACTTTAATAATATCTTAACATATAATAAACCTAAATATATTATTCTCCTAGATCAATACGGAAAATATATCACACATATATTTTCCGATATTATCTCTAACACCCTCCCGCAATCGTAACGGCAGTAACACGCACGTTGCGATTGGAAATTCTTCAATTTGTTGAAGTCGGGATGCACACTCTTGTGATGTCGCCTTCAAAAAAAAATTTCTTCAATGATGAGAACGTTCATCTTTTCGAACTCATCAGTCTTCAATCAAACAGGAACGTCATTCTTTTCGAACCTGTAAATATAACAATTTTTGGTTTTTCCAGAGCAAAACCGAGCTCTAATCAAATATTGGTTTTTCAGAGTAAACCACACTCAAATCTTTTATTGGTTTTTCAGAGTAAACCACACTCAAATCTCTTATTGGTCTTTCGAGTAAACCACACTCAAATATCTTGTTGGTCTTTTAGAGTAAAACCAAACTCATATCCAAAAGAGCAAAATCATGCTCGAATCAACTCAAAAAAAATAAAAGCGGAATTTTTTCGGTAAAATTTATGAATCCCGCCGATGAGTATAATTTTCTAACCCACCGGCAGGGGGGGAAATTTTTGTGAGCGGTCCCAAGATTTAACCTACTCTTGACAAATTAGAGAGAAATATAAAATATAAAATAGCTTTTGTATTGCTTGATTATTATTCATCCATAGGTAGAGTATTTATACAAAACCTAAGAACATAAGATAGGAAACAATCTTCCTAAAAGATATACTTTAATAATATCTTAACATATAATAAACCTAAATATATTATTCTCCTAGATCAATACGGAAAATATATCACACATATATTTTCCGATATTATCTCTAACAAGTACGAATCCAATTGTCTTGCAATTGGATATGGCTTCCTTCCTTTCTCTTTCTCTTCTCTTGGGGAGTTAGAAAAGGAGGCTATTGCATTGTTGAAGCGAATCCAGAAGTTCTTGAAGACTCAGGACATTGAGGCACGTGCATCAGCTCATATCTTCACTAGGATAAGATTTGCAATAAATAGAGGAGTGGGGGCCCAGATTGTATCTCGGCTTCCCACTAATTTTTTGTAGGTTGTATGACTTTGTCTATTTTTGAGATATAATAATAATAATAATAATAATAATAATAATAATAATAATAATAATAATAATAATAATAATAATAATAATAATAAGATTAAATTACAATATTTCAAAAAATAATAATAATAATTAATAATAATAATAAATAAATAAATAATAAACAATGTACTCTTGGTCGTGTTGTGTTGGTTGCGGCTTAGCGAAAACGGGACAAGTATGGGGCACGTAGCAGGGCTATTGGCTATGGTTTTCTTCCTTTATCATTTTCTTCATTAGGGGAATTAGAGAAGGATGATGTTGCGTTGCTGAAGCGGGTCCAGGCGTTCGTAAGGACTCGAGATATAGGTGCTCATGCAGCTGCTCACATTTTCAGCAGGATCGGGTTCGCTATAGCTAGAGGAGTGAGGGCCCAGATTTATCTCGGCTCCCCACTAATTTCTTATAAATTGATTGACTTTGAAGGTTATTATTATTATTATTATTATTATTATTATTATTATTATTATTATTATTAAGTAGTAGTAGTAGTAGTAGAAGTAGTAGTAATGATTTTAATTTGGGTGACCTGGAATGGACCATAAAAGGAGAAAAATATAATATTTCCAAAAAAAAAGAAATGTAACATAAAAAAAAAAATAAAAAAACGACTGTATTTTGTAAGTTTAACATTAAAAAAAACGCGGAGAGAATATATATGTACAATACTTAGTTTCTATGTTTATTTTATTTTGACTGAACTTATTTAAATTTTTTTTTATGAAATAAAATAAGTTAGACATTTAAATGAAACGAACCAACCCAAAGTAGCTAAAGGTATGTTCTACTCACCTTATCTTCATTTATTCAAATTTATCTTATCGTATCTGAAATTAACTAAATTTACCAAAACTTATTAGACTTTATTATGAAATTTATTTTTTTAATATAACATTAAATGCATTGATTATGAGCTGTGTCCAATTAATTCTCCAGATAAAAAAAAATTGTTACTTGAGAGTATAATCGTCTTTTCAAGTACCAATGAAGGGGTACATTCGTCTTTTCGTGTACTAGTTGAAGGAGGACTTGTGTTTGATCCTCCGCAACAACACAGAGGGAATATATATGTACAAACTTTCAAATACATTGTGTATCCTTAAGGTTTGTAAAAAAAATTTGCACCAAATGCCCCTAGACTCATAACAAATGTTAATTTTGTGAAATTGAGACCCCCTAAGCATCAAATTTTGTTAAATTATTACAGTGTAATGCTATTGTAATACTACACTATTTAATTATCAAGTAAACTTAATTAATAAATTAAAATCTAACACCCAAAAGTTTAGGATTTAGAATGATGGGTGAAGTTCAAATTTTGATGTAAATTGTGATTATTTTAGGCGCTTTATTGCATAAATGTAAATTACTAAGAGGGAGTTATTGTGTGGGTATGATTTTAGTTTAATAGGTTAATGATACGTACATTTGTTAGACAATCAGGGTACAGAAGTATTTGAAAGTTTTCAGGGTACACGATGCATTTTTTACCTTAGGGGTATATGGATCAATTTCCCACAAAAGAAAAGTTTTATAATGGGTTTTTGGCAAATTTTCTTTAATAATATATACGACACATATATTGATCTTAATTAGTCCATCACTAGAAGGAAGAAAAAATAAATAAATAAATAACTTAGAAAAGGGTAATTAAAAAAGACAAAAATATTAGTGGATTATGAAACCATACAACAATATCAATTGCAAAACGTTACATAATGAATTGACAAGGACTACACATTAATTTTCGTCGATCTTACATTAGTACAATTACTGATTTGTAAACAGAAAATAAGATTACAACAAACCTGTATGGGAAGATATGTGGAACGGGCTGACATCTTTTATAATATGGGCCTTAATCTAGTTCAGCTGATAAATAAGCTGATATGTTCCACAGGGCAGACATATCGGCCAGTCAGTATTTGACACATGGCAACAGAAACTTGACACTTGGCTCAAGAAGCCTTACATGGCTGAGAGCCAGCTGTCAAGGAAGATCATTATAAATAGTAGGTCAGACCTCATTAATGAGGGCATTAATTACACTCTTTCTCTCTCTCTCTCTCTACTTTCTCTCTCATACTTATCTTCCTTTTTTCTTAAACACTTTCTGACTTTACCATTGGAGTGGTTATCCCCGGATCACCCCGGGGTTAGCTAACTTCTCTTTACTGTGTAGGTTCTCAGCTTGCCGATAGGAGTATCAGGATCTCAGGCTCGTACTCTTGGGTGATCAGATCCAGACAGAAACAATTTGGCGCTAGAAAGAGGGGATTGATCACTTCTATCACCTAAGAACCTCACACATAGGATAGTATTAACTATGGTCGGGAATAGTGAAACACCGGTGACAAGGAAAGTAATAAATCAGCCGATAGAGCAACCCCAGATAGAGATAGAAGACGAAACTCATACCTTGGGGGATAATCAGTTTCATATGTCGTTAACACCCCCTAGGGGTGGAGGAGAGGCAGAGGATCCTATGGCAGAATTCACGCCGGATGAGCTAGAATTGGCAACAAGGGTGATGAATGCTATGAGCAAGAAAAGGAAAGAGGCCGAGACGGCACAGGCTGGAAGGGGGACCGCTCGGGCCGAAAGGGAAGCGCCACACATTAATCAGGAAGAACAACATGACCGATCAACAAATTCACCAGGGAGACCCCGAAGTGAGTCGCCGATAAGGACGCACACTGTGTCGCGGCGAGTTGAACAATCTTCAAGTCGCACTGTTAGTACAAGGACCCAGCAGCAGAGAAGCTTACAGCTAGACGGGCAGACAGTGCGAACTGTAGTTCAGTTAAGGGCATCTCCGTTTGCGCAGCATATTCTAAACCAGCCGATGGAAAAGGTAAAAATGCCGACTTGTAGGTATGACGGGAGGGGGGACCCGGGTAGGTTCATAACATCCTATGAGGGCCACATGATGTTGTATACCAACTCAGATGCAGTATGGTGTAAGGTCTTTCCGACTACTTTGATTGGGGCTGCGGCCGACTAGTTTAATAACCTTGGAGTTGGAATAGTGGATAGTTTTGAGAGACTGACCGAGATGTTTGTGGGTCAGTATGTCAGCAATAGTGTGCGGCAGAAAACCTCTGGAGAATTGATGGCAATAGAGCAGAGGCCAGATGAGTCTTTGAGGGATTTTATTAGGCGATTTAATAATGAGGCAAATACAATCCCAAAACTGCAACAAGAGATAGCTGTAATGGCTTTGATGAATGGCTTGGTTGATTCTGATTTCAAGCGTTACCTCACAAGAAAAAATTTGCTGACGTTGGCAGCAGCATTTAACAAGGCCCATGGCTACATTAAAAGTGAAGAGTTGATGAGGACAAGTAGCAGAAATATGGTTGTCGGAAGAGGGCAAAGTCAGCACGAAGGATCATCCTCGGGAAGTGTAAGGCCGAGAGCCTCTGCCCCAGGAAGAGGGGGGGAAACCGGCAGGATTCAAGGGCGTCAAGGCCACCAATGAGATACAGTTCCTATACTCCTTTGAATACACCGAGAGCAGCAATTTATTCGGTGAATCAAAATAGAGAAGGGTGGTCAAGGTCGATTCCAATGAAAGCAAGGCCAAGGGATGTGAAGAAGTATTGCATGTTCCATAGAGATGTGGGTCATTACACGGAGGAATGTACACAGCTGAAAGATAACATTGAAGAGTTGATAAGGAAGGGGCATTTGTCGCAATACCGGCTGAATACGGGCAGAAATCAGCAATCAGTTCAACCGATTGAGAGACAGCAAATAGAGGCAAGGCCATAAAGGGTGCAAGGAGGAGTAGTCCGACAAGGGGATGTAGGGCTGCCGCTGTTGTCTACTGGAAGAGGAGTAGGTGTGATAACAGGGGGGCCGATACATGGAGGAACAATTAGTGGGGCAAAGAAGCACTTGGTTGAACACCGTCATCTAGTGTACGCCTTAGATGTAGACAATCGTCCTCGGCCACCTACAATACCTGAAATAGTGTTTACCGAAGAAGATGCAAGGGGAGTAGTGTTCCCTCATGATGATCCATTAGTCTTGATAACAAAGATAAATGGGGCTGACGTCAAAAGAGTGCTGGTGGATGGTGGTAGTTCAGCAAATGTGTTGTTTGTGCAAGCTTTTAATGAGATGAATATCGGAAGACAATACCTAAAACCAGTATCATACCCGGTCATTGGGTTTAATGGGTCTACAGTAAGACCAGAAGGAAGCATAGTGCTACCAGTTAGGCTGGGAGATGGGCCACAAGCAAGGGATATGATGGCAGAATTTCTGGTGGTGGATGTTAAATCAGCCTACAACGCAATTATCGGCAGACCGATAATACACAATATGCAGGCCATTGTGTCAACCTACCATCTGGCGATAGCTTATGTATCGAATCTGGGAGCTGTAGAAAAGGTATATGGAGGTCAGGTGATGTCAAAGTCTTGTTATGTGTCCGCTTTAAAAAAATCCAGTTGGTAGTGGTCCAGTGCCATGTAATCCGGTAAGGGTGGGTGAGCCAACAGTTCAGGACTTAACAATGAGGAATTTTGATACGAGGCCGGAGGAGACCCCAAGGCCGTTACCAAGAAGAGAGACTATTCGGGTTGAGCTGCAACCAGGTGATCCGAGTAGAACAGTGAGAGTTGGAGCCGACATGGATGTAGATACAAGATGCCACCTGGTAAGCTTGTTGCGTGAGAATGCAGATGTTTTCGCATTTTCGGCAATTGAGATGCCGGGAATACATCCGGAAGTGATGGAGCACAAGTTGAATGTGGATTGAAAATTCAGGCCGATAAGGCAAAAGAAGCGCAACTTTTCAACAGAAAAGATAGAGGCAATTCAATCCGAGGTAAACAAGCTCTTAGCGGCAGGGTTTATTGAGCCTTGCACATATCCGGAGTGGATGGCGAATGTAGTGATGGTAAGAAAGCCAACAGGGAAGTGGCGAATGTGTGTAGATTTCACAGATTTGAATAAGGCCTGCCCCAAGGATTGCTACCCACTGCCTCGGATAGATAGGCTGGTAGACTCAACCTTAGGTCATGCTATGCTGAGTTTCTTAGATGCGTTCTCGGGTTATCATCAGGTCAGCCTGCACAAAGCCGACAGGGCCAAGACAGATTTTATAACAGATGCTGGTGTATATTGTTACAAGGCAATGCCGTTTGGGATGAAGAATGCAGGGGCGACGTATCAGAAGTTGGTAGATAAGATATTTGAGAAGCAGAAGGGCCGAAATGTTGAGGTGTACGTGGATGATACAATAGTAAAAAGTAAGGAGAAAAAAGATCATATAGCAGATTTGACGGAAACATTTGAGACGCTGCGAAAATATCAGATGAAGTTGAACCCAGAGAAATGTGTGTTTGGGGTCAGATCGGGAAAGTTTTTGGGCTTTATGGTTAGTGAGCGAGGAATAGATGCAAACCCAGATAAGGTGAATGCAGTACTTCAGATGAAACAGCTGAAAACCATTCGTGATATACAAAGGTTGACTGGCAGAATGGCGGGGTTAACTAGGTTCATCAGTAAATCGGCTGATAAAGCGCTTCTGTTCTTCATGGTGTTACGGAGAAATAAGACATTTGAGTGGGGAAAAGAACAGGGTGATGCACTAGAAGTGGTGAGAAATCATCTTAGATCTCTTCCAACAGTAGCCAGGCCTGAGAAGGGAGAATTGCTGCAGCTATACATCTCGGCGTCGCCAAAAACGGTGGCAGCCGTTCTACTGGTGGAGAGGAAGAAACAACAGATGTCAATATACTTTGTTAGCCATGTGTTGAATGCGGCTGAACGTAGATATCCAGTGATAGAAAAAATGGCACTAGCAGTGGTGATAGCAGCCAGAAAGTTAAGGCCTTATTTTGATGCCCATCCAATAGATGTATTAACAAATCATCCGTTGGAAAAGTCGCTGCATAAAATGGATACTTCAGGCAGATTGTTAACGTGGGCAGTAGAGTTATTGGAATATGAAATAAATTACAGGCCTAGAACGTCAATCAAAGCCCAGGCGTTGTCGGATTTTATTGTGGAGACGACATACACTGATGAAGAAGAAGAGTTGGGAACATGGCAGGTATCGGTTGATGGTTCAGCCACAGCAACGGGGACAGGGGCCGAAATTGTGATAACAGCGCCAGATGGGAAGATATTTGAATATGCCATGAAATTTAAATTCAAAGCCACAAACAATGAGGCTGAGTACGAAGCTGCAATTGTTGGGATTTAGTTGTCAATAGCAGTGGAAGCAAAGCGGTTAGTTTTAACAACTGATTCCCAGTTAGTATCAAGCCAGTATAGTGGGGAATATGAGACAAGAGAGCCAGCCATGGTGAGACACCTGGAGAAGGTGAGGCAGTTAGCGACGCAGTTGCAATATTTTGAAATTACGTTGGTACCAAGAATGAAAATTGCTCAAGCAGATGCCTTGGCAAGGTTGGCAAGCTCGAGCTTTAATGACATGGAGAGAACAGTCATGGTAGAAGTCTTAAAGCAAAAGAGCATAGACGAAGTGACAGAAGAAGTGTTGTGTATTGATAACGGCTCTCAATGGTATGATAAAATACTAGCATACCTTCTTCATGGGGCGCTGCCGATAAATAAGGGAGAATAAAAAAAGCTGCGAAAAGACAGTGCTTGATTTGTCATGTACCAAGGTCAGTTGTACAAAAGGGGATTTTCATTGCCGTTACAGCGATGCATAAGGGACTTTGAATCTGCAAGGTTGATCGAAGAATTACATGAGGGCAGTTGTGGTAACCATCTCAGTGCAAGAGCTCTGTCCAGGGAAGCAATGAGAAGGGGGTATTACTGGCCGACAATGAATGCAGATGTTGTAGCTTATGTGAAAAAGTGTGAAAAGTGCCAAAAATTCGCCCCGGCTATCAACCTGCCTCCCAATGACCTGATGCCGATATTAAATCCGATCCCTTTTGCCCAATGGGGAATGGATATAGTTGGACCGTTTCCGTCAGCCACGGGTGGAAGGAAATTTCTATTAGTAGGAATAGATTACTTTACAAAATGGATTGAGGCAGAACCAGTAGCAAAGATAATGGCATCAGAGGTGATGAAGTTCATATTGAAAAATATTTTCGCGAGATTTGGGCTGCCAATGGCAATGGTTTTTGATCATGGAACCCAGTTTGATTGTAAGCGAGTCAAAGATCTTTTGACAATGTACAAAGTAAAGTTTGCTTATACAGCAGTATGCCATCCGCAGTCTAACGGCCAGGCAGAGGCAGCAAATAAGCAAATCGTAATGGCAATTAAAAAGAAGATTGAAGATGCAAAGGGTTTATGGGCAGATTTAATACCGAAAATATTGTGGGCAAACGGGACCACGATAAGAGAAGCAACAGCTGAATCGCCCTACACTTTAGTATTTGGAACAGAAGCAGTGATACTGGCAGAAGTAGGATTGCCAACATTTAGAGTCCAACACTATTGTGAAGATCAGAATGATTTGATATTGCGTCAACAGTTGGATTTTTTGCCAGAAGTAAGAGAGAAAGCAGTTGTTAAATCGGCTGCATTCAAAGAAAGAATGTCAAGGGCATATAATAAAAGGGTATGTTATCGGCCGTTGAATAAAGGTGATCTGGTTCTACGGAGAACAGCAGCAACATGAAAGGGAAATGAAAATGGAAAGCTCACGGAAAATTGGGAAGGACCTTATCGGATTAGAGATGTAATCATCCAAGGATCATTTTATCTTGAGACAATGGATGGAGCACCGCTAAAAAATGTATGGAACTCAGCGGTGCTAAAGAAGTACTATGTATAGAAATGTATAAATCTTTTCAACGATATGAAGCTGATATCAATAAAGATGTCAGTGATGAATGAAAAAATATTCAAATGACATGTGTTGGAAATAGGCATCCTCCATTTAGCAGTACATCGTTAAATGGGACGGACAACTCAAAACCGCTTCCGTGAAGTTGATGAACCTACAGCCTGATCAGTTGTATACATTAACTCACGAGGTTGTTGGTTCAAAATATAATACCGGCAAAATCAATTCGGGTACACGCCAATGTAAGGCGTAACTCAGAAAGTGATCGCCGAGAGGGTACCTAACTGGCTGAAAAATCATAGCAGTAGGTGACCGATGTTGTACTCTGAACCAGCAACGCGTATCATTTCCTAGTGTACATAATTCCTAAAGGAAATATGCATACTAGGGGGGGTAAAAGAGTTAAGTATCATATACAAATTTACTTGTTAAACGGTAATTGCTGGTACTGCTATAATGCTAATATTACTATAAAAGAGTTAGATATCATATACAAATTTACATGTTAAACGGTAATTGCTGGTACTGCTATAATGCTGATATTACTATGGTGGATGGTAAAAGTTGTTAAATAAAAAATTTACGGACGTGAATAATTATTATAGCATAATGATTAAAGGTGCAAATGAGTATTCATAATAGTTAAAGATGACAATTGACAAGCATCACCACAAAAAGGGTATATGCCGATA